TTTCCCTTATTCTTGCAACTTTTCAAACCAGTGGTGAGAGACGCCTGCTGCTCCCACCCTCCCAAGCCCTTGGTGGGAGGTGGATGCTGATGTTTTTCGAAGTTTTCCAGGGCTCCCCATCGCACTGGGGGAAATTTTTAATGTGTTACGGAGATATTTTTTTTTTCCCCCAGGGGAGCTTTGCTAGGGGGTGGGCTGAAAGTTTCCTCACCTATAAATAACCACTAATAGAAACACGCAGGAGGTGCCTAATGTGAACTTGCCCCTTTGGCTGACTCCAAGCAGTTCTTCTTCTGAGCACTTCTTATTTTGTTCTGATGTACCCAATGAAAAAAAGTAATAGCACCTTCTCCCCAGCTGTAAGTACTGGCTGCGTGTTATTTATAGTGAAGAGGCCCAGATTGCATTAGTATTCTCTGAGCAGTGAACCCTAATCGACATGAAAGGTGGGATGTAAAATAACATCCCAGCGCTGTCTTGTTCTTGATTTCTTATCTTTAAAGGGATTCTGTTGAGAGGGTTTTTTTTTTTAATTGTTCCTTTTTTTCTTATTGAGAAAAAAAGTTGGTCTTGCCAAGGAAAAGGAATAGGAAACTTATTGGAAACCGTTTATTGCTTGGTTGGTGTATCACCATTAATTAGCTGTTTTCAGTGGCCACACCAGGGGGAAGAAAGTCAATAGAAAGGGCCCTGCTAATGTCAAAGTAAAACTCAGACCAGGGCCACAAATAAAAAAGGAAAATTAGGAGAGAGAAAAGGGTTGGGTTTTTTTTTAATATGAACCTCTGTGAAAGGACAATGCAGAGCTCTGGAAGCTGCAGTACAATTCTTGAATCTTTGACATTTGCCATTTGGGGGAAAATCGTGCCATCCTTGCCTGATTTGGATTGCAGAGTTACCCAAGGCATGTTTGAAGCGTTTGTGGTGTGCAGTTTCGTTTCATCTCTCTGTCAGATTTTGATTTGTAAAAAAAAGAAAGAAAACAATGAATGCTTTCGCAAAGCAATGCCTGTGGGGTTTTTTTAATTATTATTATTATTACAGTTGCAGAAATGCTTGAAATGGTCCTTAATTTGAACTGCCGGGAAAATAGTTCAAAATTTGGGAAATGAGGCAAAAGAGACAAATATTGTCAAATGCCTGACCTGTTTTTCAGCTCTTGCTATTAATGGCTGTTATCCCCTGGCCCTGCTGTTTTATGTGAGATTTAGATCAGTCATGAACATGAGATTTCATACAAAATCTATCACCGTATTAAAATGAAAAATAGCCTTTTCATGCTAGCTGAACTGTCCACTTTCTGTGTGAATAACGTTTTATAACCTTGGGGTGGCTGATTGGGAGCTCTGCAGTGTTTCTCTCTGATTTGTTTTATGATGGTCTCACTGTCTTTGAGCCATATTTAACAACTCAGTGGGATTATTTTAATTGCCAGTTATTCCCAAAAATACAAATAATCAAACTTTAATTTACTGATGATGACAAAACGCACAGAGCTGGCTCGGGTTTATTTGGCCGTACAACCGTTATTTACAGAGAAACCCAGAGCAGGCTGGCATGGGTCTGAGAGTATCAATCTCTCATCAGCCACTAACGATTTTAAATGAGGATGGGGTTTTTGATATGATGGTTCTTCACAGCCAATGTCAGAAGATGCATTGATGGCATAGAGATTGTTCACCCTCCTAAAATTAAGCGTGAGCCAGTGTACTTGTCAAATTTAAGCTTAAATATGCACTAAGAGGAGGAGACAAAATCAGCCTTGTTTCTTTGACAGGATGAGGGGGAATGGCTTCAAACTGGAAGAAGATAGATTTAGATTAGATATTAGGAAGAAATTTCTCACTGTGAGGGTGGTGAGACACTTGAACAGGTTGCCCAGAGAAGCTGTGGCTGCCCCATCCCTGGAGGTGTTCAAGGCCAGGTTGGACGGGGCTTGGAGCAACCTGGGCTGGTGGGAGGTGTCCCTGCCCATGGCAGGGGGGTTGGAACTCGATGATCTTCAAGGTCCCTTCCAACCTAAACCATTCCATGATTTTATGATTCTTCCCACTACTTGCAAGGTGCCTCCTTTGGCCGTGAGCGGTGGAGGGCTGGAACGATTCACCCTGCACTGGTGACCACGTGCTGGGCTGGCGTACGCCAAACTGGGACAAGGGAGCTTTGAGCATCTCATGGCCCCAGTCCCACTGCGCTGAAGAGTCCCTTGTTA